ATCCTGCCCACAGTTTAGTAGAGCCCATGGTTTTCTAGTGTATTCAGTTCCGAGAGAGAGAGCTAGAATGATGGGCAGGTAGCGGGGCTCAGTAGGCAGCCAGAAGCCTGGACTGGCACCACTGGTCTTCCTGATAACATCAGCATGGCCCTTCTAAGAGCAGGACCCAGTCTAAGGGGTTTACCTCAACCTGCTAAAAACCCTGGTGTCACTCTCACCATGCCTAGAGAGAATTCTGGGAACACCATCCATTACTGCCTTCCAGGCAGCTTTCTTTCTATGCATTTCCACAGCATCTGGCACCTGCGAGGCCTTTCCTAAAGTGGTGACTCATTTCTGTATCTCCGACACCAGAGGCAGTGCCTAGAACACAAGAGGTGGTCTGCAGATGTTCACTACAAGAGAGGATGAACTGTGACCTGGGCCCCAGACGGAACATCTCAGATTCCATTGCTACAGCAAAATGACTCTGCCCCTCAACTGCTCTTGCCGGGCTTAGGCATGGTGCAACCGACAAACAGTAACAGACTTTAGCAGTAGAATCTTTTTTGGTTATTTTTATTGTTATGTTAATCACCATACATTACATCATTAGTTTTTGAAGTAGTGTTCCATGATTCCTTGTGCATAACACCCAGTGCTCCATGTAGAACGTGCTCTCTTTGATACCCATCACCAGGCAAACCCATCCTCCCACCCCCCCTCCCCTCTAGAACCCTCACTCTGTTTTTCAGAGTCCATCATCTATCATGGTTCATCTCCCCCTCCGATTTCCCCTTCATTCTTCTCTCTTTTTTTCTTAACATATATTGCATTATTTGTTTCAGGGGTATAGATCTGTGATTCAACAGTCTTGCACAATTCACAGCGCTCACCATAGCATATACCCTCCCCAATGTCTATCACTCAGCCACCCCATCCTTCCCACCCCATCTCCCACTCCAACAACCCTCAGTTTGTTTCCTGAGATTAAGAATGCTTCATATCAATGAGATCATACGATACATGTCTTTCTCTGATTGACTTCTTTCACTCAGCTTAACACCCTCCAGTCCCATCCACATCGTTGCAAATTAGCCGTAGAATCTTGAATGAGATATTTAGCCTCCCAGAGCCTCAGTTTTCTCATCTGCACACCAGGCAGAATAAAGCTGACCTCAGCAGACTTTGTGAGCTCAAAAGGATAGAAGGGGTATGGAGCGGTCAACACAGCGTTTGACTCGTGGTCAATGCTCAGTGACTCTTCCTTCTTCCGCTTCTTCCCAGGAAGTCACCACTAAGGAGAATGATATTAATGATGTCCTAAAAGAAATGGTGGCCTCTTGGTTGAGAAAAAGTGACAAGTGTTTGCAAAGGGACCGTGTTGCCCTGGCTCCTTCATTTCCAGCAATAACACCAACCACATGGAGTATTCACTGCAAGTGCCTTTTTAATCTCTTTGTAGGGAACACACACAGTCGTGGGCAACAGTCCTTGGAGGGAGAGAAAGAGTCAGAAAACCCTTTTGAAGGAACTGATGAAAAGGCAAGCAGAGATTTTAATAAGATACAGTCCTTGCCTTCAAAGAGCAGACCATCTCTTGCAGCCTCCCCCTGCTGTGTTTGGTCTTCAAACACACTAACTGCAAATTCAGGAGACAAAAAGCAGATCCATTTTGTTTCCTGGAAGCTTGGTAACCCATTAAACAGACGTTCTCACTTCCCACAAAGGTGTGAAATGTGTTTTAGGAGTTTGAAAGAGGCAAGCCAAACAAATAAGACTAAACGGTTAGCTTTAATACATTTTCTTTTGAAAACTGCCTAATGAGAAGTTCAGTGACTCATTGAGAGGAAAGCTCAGTCAACTTGGTAGGGTACAGGTGTGGAGAGGGAAAGGCTGAATTTTGGAGGCATTTTGGAGCAGTACAATTTCATTTCCTTCAAGTGTAATAAGCAAAAACAAGAAACCCACTGCCTAGGAGAAGCCCTAAAGGTCAGGATTAATGAAGGGACTGGAAGGTCTGAAGCTCTCAGGCTGAGTTGTGTGCTGGTGAGTGAGTATTTCAACAACACTTAAGGGGACTTATACATAATTTATTTTCTTAAGTAGGTACATTGTAGAAATGTTTTTTGCAATATTAATTGAACGAGAAAACTGTGTCCTCATGAGTATCCACCATTCCTAACCTTTCCCAGCAAGGGCTCCACTTTGCATTTCCCGGACTCTGTAAGGCAGGGGACCCCAGCAGGTCACGCCGAGCCTGGATGCTGGCACACGAGCCAGCAGTGCTGCCAATCTTTCTCATGTTCCCGGTTGTGATGCCCTGAGAAGGGGGTCCTGGCCATTATCTCCAGCCCCTGGCATGTGCAAACAGAAGACTTTACAAGAGGAGCCCAGACCCAAGCCATCAAGTCCAGGTCAGATTTTGGCTCTGTCCCCAAACTAGCTGTGTGACCTGGAGCAGATCACTTCACCTCTGTGGACCTTAAATTCCCATATGAAAAAGAGAAGTTTGGATGAGAAGACGCTTGCTTTTTCCAGGATGCCTCTGACTCTGAGATATGCCTCCCTTACTACCAGGTGGGAGAGCCCTGCATCAGCAAGCTGCAGTCTCACCAGTTGGCCGGGAGCAGAGCAGTTTGGGAGAGTGATATGGGTTGGAGCGGTAGCTATGAGGGACGGGGGCAAAGAGCACAGGCTTTGGAACTAGGCAAAGATGAATTTTGCCCTGAGTATTCCACTAACCAGCTCTGTGACCTGGCTCAGCCCCTCCGGGCCTTGATTTTTTTTATCTGCAAAATGAGGGTGGTAATACCAATCTCATGGGGCTGTTTTCAATATTAGCGATGGAAGCTATAAAGTGAATGGCACTCCGGGGAGGGTAGCAAACTCTAAGAGTTACAGTAAGGCAGTGAGACCTTCTCCCCACCCCACATCCATGTTCTTTTAGTTTAAAATGTATCAACTTCAGATTGGTGGGATCTTTCCACTTTTCCAATAACTTGTTACAATTCCGTTGGAATTCACATGTAGATTTTCAAAAGTGGGTGGTAGGCATGGAAACATCTCCTTCTCCTCCAGAACTCCATTATGCCAGTCATCTCAAGGGCTGCCCAGGGCTTCAGCAACAGGCTTAGCATTATTAAGGAGTAAGCAATCAGTGGCACATGGCAGACTTCATCTCCTCTATGTACTTCGAGATGAGCTTGGTATTGTAGGGACATAAGCAGAGAGGACAAGAACCCTCAACCTCCCATTCAATTCATCTTGGCCTCCCTACCCATAACTCAAATGACTAAACTCTCTTCTGCTGAAAAGGAGATATTTAGCAACCCCCCCCCTTGCACGGATTCATAACTAGTTAAGATGTCTATTATGTAATCCTCCAAACGAACACACTTAGATCCTTTCTTTTAGGCCGTCCAACCACAAGGCAAGATTATCTTGCTGGGTCTGTGGATGAGGCAATGCACTGGGGAGAGAAATTAGCATGTTCAGGGCCATGGATTTGACGTGATAAGGAGCTGCCCCAAATTCTCAGGCTTCCTTCCTTGTGACTTCCCTAGTGATAAAGTCTCACCCACAAGTCCCAGCTCTACTACTTACCTCCTCAGCAGCCTCAGTCTCCACAAAAGATGCCTCCACATCCAGGGAGCTAGACCATAATTTGGGAAGAGAGAGCATCTATGGAAATGCCAAGCTGGGCCGTGTGCAGAGTAGAGGCTCAGGAATTGTTAGATTCTTCACGTTCGTGGGGCCGCTGAGAAAGTTGCCGCCACCATCCGTAGGCAGTCTAAGCTAAAATGCACCGTGCAAATGTTAGCAATGAAGGTTAATTTCACAAGGCTCGTTTTTATCTCAGGATTCCCCCAGCCACCCCCCTCACTCCTGGAGATCCAGGTTTGAAATGTGCACCTCTAACTCGATCTAGCCCGACTGAGTGCAATTCTAGGCTCAGAGCAACCCAGTCGATCTAGCCATGCCGTCCGTGATGGGCTGTCAGCACTTACCTGGAGAGCAGAGCGATGCCTGGGGGAATGGCAAGTCTGAAGAAGCAGCGAGCTGGGCCTGAGAGTCTGGACTTAAATAAATTGTATTTTCTGGCTGGGGATGATAAGACAGACAGCTGAAGCTTGTGTTACACTTACACATCATTATGGCCCTGAAATGGGGAAGGAGAGCTGCATCTTGTCCCAAGTTTGTACCAAAACTGTGCTTTGTGTAAATAGCTCTCAGGCCTTTGATGTTGAGCAGAGAGGAAAATAATCCTCTCGGAAACACCAGAAGGGAGCCTCAGGCTCCAATGCACAGTCAGGGAGGCTTATTTCCTCTAATACCTTCATGCAGAAGCCAGCAAAAAAAGCTTAGGTAGAATGAAGTGGGAAGATGGGAAGGGCCTCAGCAGACAAAGGATGGGGAGGGAGGGTAGGACAAGTGTCAGGCCCAGCTCCTGCCAGAACCAGCAAGGTTGGCCAGCACAGAAGGGCACCTCCCAGAGGCGGGCAAGGGTGATATAGGATGGCAGCACCTTGGAGTCCCTTCCTTCATTCAACAAGACAGACACAATCTCTACTCTCTCAGAGCTTACAGTCTAGCAAAGACGTAGCCAACAAATAACCACAGGGATATCCAGCTATTTACATGATTTGATATGCACTATAAAGGGAAAAAATGGAATGTGTGAGGCTGTAGGACAGGACGTCTCAACTGAAATGGAGGCTGGGAGCAGGGGCTGGGAGAAAGATTGATACCACGGACCCCTGCTGGAGCCACCACCTGGGCCCAGGATGAATAGCAAGCCTGGTGATGGGGCAGCCAAGGATAGGGAGTGAGTCTCTTATCACTGCCAACACAAAGACTTGTCTGCTCCCTCCCCTACAGGGGAGACTTGGATGCATGAGGCTTTGGTGGTGCCAGCCCATTGTCAATGACCAGGTGAAGGGAGCACAGCCCCAGAGCTTCCATCTCCTAGTGTAAGTGGGGAAGCTAAGAGCCTGCTATAAAGGAAGTTCAGACTAAACATGTCCTCACTGCGCAGCCTCAGGCAAGTTTTCTCCCCCCTCCCAGGTCTGGGTTTCCTTCCCCGTGCAGTAAGGCGGGTCTGTGAGATGGTCTACAAGACCCCTCGGAGTTTCCTCACCTTTTCATCCCCTTCTGAAACTCACAGAGGGTTGACGCCCTCTCTCTACCCCACCCACCCAGCATGTCTGGGATCACAGACACTGGACTGGGACCACCGTTGACCCGGGAGGTAGAGGGTCACAATTTAACCCCAACCCAATATTCTGGAGTTCAAGTGTCGGTGGGGGTTGGGGATTTGGAATTTGCAATAATCCGGTGCGAAGCTGAAATGTACTTTTACTTACAAATCGCCTCATATACATAGGCAATTCATATTATAATCAATTTTGGAGGCAACAAGTCTATTTAGTGGATCTATTAGAACACCCAGAAGTCACCCCAGCTGTGTTCAACCCATTGCCAAGGATGTGCTACATATAAGCTTCTCTCATCTGTTCACACTGTGGTCCCAGAAAACATCTCTCCAGTGGAAAAATTCGTTAGCCAAGTCCAGTTGCTGTATACAATGGTGATGATAAATCTCAGGGGTTTTTTTTTTTGAAAAAAACATTGTTCCAAATGTCCTCCCCAACCATGAAGCTGAGGGAGGAGGGCTTGGCTGTCCCAAAACAGTGAAGCTGGTCAGGGACTCAGACATTTTATACAGTGAAGAAAACGTGGATTCTGATGTTTTGCTGGTACTTCGCACGGGTCCTGAAAGCAGAACTTGTACTTCTTTGCAATCCCCATAATTCTTGCACAAATGAGGAGAACAAGCCTATGACTATTGATGGGCTGATGGAAAAAGCAAGGCACAAACAGTGTAGGGCTCGGAAAGGCCCCAATGACAAAGACCCAGGAGAGCACAACCAGGAAGTGTAGGTATTAGACATTCATGGATTTCGTATCTTAACATCTCTACTTAATATGTATAATAATATGACCATAGGCAAGTCACTTAGCATCTCTGGGCCTCGTTTTCCTCCTCTGCACCATAGGAGCAGCCAAACCCAGAGCAATCATGGTTGCAAGAGTTAAAGGAGATAACATAGATGAGCGTCTAGCAGAGCATTTGGCACATCGTAGAAGATTGTCTTCCTTCCTTCCATCTGGCCCTCAAGGTCTACATGAAAAAGGTAGTCTCCAGCAATTGCCCGTTCTATTTATCTGCCCCCACACTGAAGGATGGGAGGCCAAAGAGCCCTCCTGTGGCTTCCATGCTGCAGGCGGGGAAAACTCAGTGGAACGTGGCCAAGCGGGGACAGTCTGCTCCCAAACTTCAGGGGCTGCAAGAACCCAGCACATTTGGCCTGGCTCTCTTCCAGCCCTTTTGCCAGATGTAATTTGGCTTCAGTTCGAGGTTCTAAAGTAGTTAGGTAAGCACAATAACCCATAACATTTGTAGAAAGCTTTTACAGTTTTCAAAGGACGTACGCACGTATTGCCTCAGCTAATCTCAGTAACCTTGAGAGGTAGTCAAGGAAAGGGTGAGAATTCCCATTTTATAGATGGAGAAGTTTATAAATGTTTTATTTGGTTCCGACTAAGGAGTGGCAACATGAAATTTGGACAAAAATTTCTGTATTCCTTGCCGTGGGCTCTTCCTACACCTTCACACGATCACAACATCACACCACATTGTTGTAATCATGTAATCATCAAGTAAAAGTGGCCCCGGGTGCCTGGGTGGCTCAGTTGGTGAAGCGACTGCCTTCGGCTCAGGTCATGATCCTGTAGTCCCTGGATCGAGTCCCGCATCAGGCTCCCTGTTCGGCAGGGAGTCTGCTTCTCCCTCTGTCCCTCCCGACCCTCCCCCCTCTCATGTGCTCTCTCTCTCAGTCTCTCTCTCTCAAATAAATAAATAATAAAAATAATAAAAAAAGTAAAAGTGGCCCCAATAACTACTGGGTTACAGGCAACGTAGTAAGTACTCAGAATCAGAAGTGAAGAGCAGAGTCAAGTTCAGGAGAGATGTAAGACCAAGTGTTTGGAGCCATGTGATAGCTGCCATGGTAAAGGAGCAAGAGGAAAAGGAAGAGAGGGACATAGCCCAACTTGGTCCAGGGACTCAGGATCCCTGGAGGAGACACATCAGTCCAGTCTTGAACAACAGCTAGAGGCTGTCCAGGCAGGAAGAGGAGAGGAATTACAGGTAAAAGAAGGAGCAAATAGAAAGCCAGAAGTGTGTGAACCAGCAGGTTGTCTGATCTGACTCCATCCACTCACTCATCACTCACTCATTCATTTGTTCATTCAACATATATTTCTGGAGCACCCCCATGTGCCAGGTACCATCTTGGTATATGTACCTCAGCAAACAAGCAGATGTAGTCCCTGAATGCATGGAGCTTCCCTTCTAGTGGAGTCCCATGGACAGATGGGGAGTGCTAAGATGGAGTGGACAGAGGGCATCATAAATGGCTGGGTATGGAGGGCCTAGATTTAGCCTATGGGTGCCGGGGGGACCTGATGGATTTTAAGCACAGGATTAGCAAGGTGAAGTTCGCATTTCAGAAAGAGGGAGCCACAGCGAAGTTAGAGGATGGGCTGGAGGAGGTGGTCTGGAATGCAGGAGCCCAGCTAAGAAATTGTAGCATCCCAGACAAGAAGTGACTGGGTCCTGAGCTATGGCAGTGCAGTAGAGAAAAAGTAAAATGCATGCAGGATGTAGAGACAGCCTTGACAGGCCTTCCTGGCTAACTGGACATGGGAGTGAGGAAGAGGAAGAGTGGACAGACACTCTGAGGGTCTGGCTTGAAATTCTTGGCAGGTGGTGATGCTATTCCCTGGAACAAGAGTGCAGGAGATCCATCCAGTGGGGTGGGAATCTGAAGAAGGTTTTTCCCACTGGGAGTTACTGAATGTCAGGGGACCCTGGATCCCCCTGAAGTCACACTCATCAGGCGCTGGGATCAGTGAGTCTGGAGCTCAGGAGAGAGCTTGGGGCTGGAGGTGCAGATTGGCTTATAGATGATGTTCAACATTTAGAAGTGGACAGGACCACCCGGGCTGGGGCAGTGCTCAGAGAGAAAAGACACCAGATCCTATTGCAACGAACCCCAAGTGTGTCCAGATATTTCTTTGATATCAGAATCCTGCTTGGCAAAATCAGGCCATTTGCCACAGTGGGGAATCATTGGTCCTCAAGAGGGCTTGACTGGGGCAGGCTGTGGGGATTCTGGCCTGAAGTCACACTTCTTGGGTCTCACTAGTTTCTACTCTGAAGTCACTCATGTGCTTCTCTCCCTCTTCTCTCTCCTTCAGGTGTTTACAAAATATGGAAAGTGTTATATGTTTAACTCAGGCGAGGATGGCAAACCTCTGCTCACTACGGTCAAGGGCGGGACAGGCAACGGACTGGAGATCATGCTGGACATTCAGCAAGATGAGTACCTGCCCATATGGGGAGAGACAGGTGAGCTGGGCACAGGGACCGAGGCTGTGGGGGATGGCAGAGGGGTAAAAGACTCTGGAAGACTGGTTTGCTTCGGGTGGGCTATCTTGGCCAAGACTATGAAGGACGGCTCTCTCAGTGAGAGGGCAACATACTGGTGAGGAGTAAGGATGTCCCTGCGTGGACTGTGATGCTCTGGGCTTCCTCATATTTCAGGAGATGGGAGAGGGGCAGATGACAGGAATAATGGAAAGGGAAAGTAGGTAGGCTGAGGGGGCTGTTGGGAAGTAGGCATGTAGGAAGGTATGATTGGGCAGGCGGGTGACTTGATTTCAGGGGACAAGGAAGACATGGACTAGCCCCTCCTTCTTTCAGCCATCTTGACTATCCCAACCCAGCCAGGAGGCCCAGTAGAAAGGAAAGCTGCTCTTCCCTGGGGGGAAGGAGGAGCTTGCTGGGTTGGAAAGCCAAAGGGTGTGGACACAACGGCCTGGCACGAGGCCTGCATGAGCCCCTGGGGGGCTTGTGTACAAGCTGCTGAGTTAGTTCATGCACAAATTTATTCGTGTATTTATTCAGCAAACTATTCATTAGCTATGTGTATACCATGTCAGGCTTTGCACTGTAATGACATCAAGGTGGAAAAAACCAGGTCCTTGATCAGAGACTAGAAAAGGAGGCACACAATCACAGTCCAGTGTGACATGAGTGTACCCATATGAAGAGGAGAGCGGCCTCCGCCTGGGGGCAGTGGGGGAGGCGTTCAGAGAAAGCATCACAGTGCCCCAGGCATTTGAACAGTTTTGGGATTATCCTGGATTATACAGGTGGGTCCTCACAAATGGGGTGCAGGAAGATCAGAGGAGAAAGTGAGGGAAACAGAGATTGGAGAAATACAGCCAGTAAGCCTAGGGATGCTGGCAACTTCTAGAATTCCCCCGGGTGGAGAAAGTAAAGAGGTGCCCAAGAGTGGGATATGGATGCCATGTAGACTCAAAGCAAGAGTAGAATAGCATTTAGGGTATAAGGGGGGAGCAGTGAAGGGTGTAAAGGATAGGCCTGGGAGGGGAAAAGGGAGAGAAGGTTCCAGCAAGAAGGAGGCCCTGGGCCCTCAGATTGGAGCTTAGGTGGGTAGAGGCCAAGCAGCCCATTCTCCATCTCTTACAACCCCCACCCTATGATTCCTGGAACTGGCCCCTCCAGTGATAAAATCTGGCCCTGACCATGCCCAGATGTTCCAGGCTTCTGAGGGCAGCCAGTGTTTCTACCCTGGGGATGACTGACTGCAAACACTAAGCTCCCCCCACCCCACCAACACATTTCCTTCCTGTCTCTCACTCAGGCTCCCTGTGGGGAGAGGTGAGCATGGCCACTTCCCTCACTGTGTGGTTGATCCTTCTGCTCCTACAATGGAGAAGTAAAATAGCCGCCACTCGTGTCACTCCAGCAAAGCCTTCCAGCAGCTCACTTCAGGCTCCAGGCCATCGGCTGCTTGCCAAGGAGACACATGGCTCCATCCACTTTTCTAAATTCAGTGCCCCTGCCCTCCAGCAAACAGAGGAAGTTCTGGGTTAGTGTTGCCCTCTGGCATCCCTGGGAGCTGACTGGCAGAGCCTGGCTTTCCAGAACAGCCCTGAGACCAGCCTGTGTCCTGGCACCATGGGCATTTGGAGACAACCCTGAGTCCTAAGAGCTGGGTCTTGGTCTTCCGAAAAAGGCTCTGCCTTAGAGACACCAGAGCATATTTGCTTATTGAACCACCTGTGGGAAAGAGGAGAAATGGGCAATAAAAATGTGTCCTAAAGATCTCATACCCACAGCCCGACAACAGGTTAGTTATGTCTTTGTAAAGTGATGTTGGATTTCCTGCCGTTACCTCGATTTGGGAATGAAAGCAAATGTATATATCCACACATGAACACACACACACTCACAAAATGCCAGGCACACCATCACACACATCTTCACACAGCATAGCTCCCTTTGGGGCCTGGCCTTGGGTCTGAGCATTGGTCAATGATAGAATGGGCTCCAACCTCAGGGCTTACCCCTGGGAATCTGCATTCTGCCTCCTGATGGATAGAGCAGGAAAGCTCTGAAACCATCTCTCCCAGCCAAATCCCTTGCTCCTTGGTGGAGGGAAAACAGGCCTGGCATGGCGACCTTCTAGACATCATGCTGGAAAGTCATGGCCAACAAGGATTGTAATGACCCAAATTTTTGACCATCAGTTAGCTCCAGTGGACCATAATCATGCTCGAGGACCTGCTGTTGGCCTAACACTGTGCAGGGCATGGTCAGGGAGGCAGAAGACACCAAAGAGAGACCCTGTGTTTCAGGAGCTTATCATCTCAGTAGGCAGCCAAAGTAGTGCAAAGAATCCACAAGAGGACAGCCTCACTCCTGCTGGTAGCTTGAGCTATCCCTTATGATCCACCAGTCCTCCTCACTTAAACCGTGGCCTCTGGGGTTGGGTGTTTGGGGAAGGAAGCTGCATGAAGAAGCAGGGGGTGAGAGCAAGGACAGGGGCTAGAAGAAACCTGTCAGAGGAGAGACTGGTTGGTGCTGCCCAACAGAACTTTCTGCAGAAATGGAGAAAATGCTCTCTAGCTGCCCTATCCAATGTAGTTGCCAAAAGGAGCATTTAAATGTGGCTCATGGGAATGAGGAACTGAGTTTTTAATATGTTATTTTGATTAAATTGCCTTGTTAGGGGAGCTGGTGTCTACCACATTGGGGAGCACAGTTTCTGATTGTTCTGGTCGGTTTCTTGGATGTTTGCCTTGCAGCCAGCTCCCACATTCTCTTTCCCTACACCAAGGCCATGAGTGGTAGAAAGGGCTCTTTATCACCACTTACCAAGGAAAGAGGCTGAGGTTAGGTGACAACACCTAGGCCACCCAGCCCACCCAGCGTGATGGCCTGAATTTTTATATCCAGGCTTCCTCAACTGTAGATTTTTGCTGGCTGAGAATTCACTGAGAAATGAGCACCCCTTGGACACTCTGTTCGCCTAAAACCTCTTTTTTCCTGGGCTGGTGAGGAGTGAGCTTTATGTGGATAGGAGTGAGGTAAACACACCTGCTGAAACATGAGGGGAAGATTCTGAGAGGTGAGGGTTGCTTGTCCATGAGGCCACTTGAGGAAGCATGGCAACATCTTACTCCTTGGTCTTTTCTCCAAAAGACTGTAGGCACCATCAAGCCTAGTCCTGCCATGGTCCTCAAGAGGGAGGCTGCTTCCTGGATCTTCAAGTCCTGTGGCCCCACAGACACAATCTTGCTTCCTTGGCATTCCCATCTCCTCTCAATTCCCAGGTGTTCATCGGAGATATCTGGGTGATGATGGAGAAGAGAGGAATTGAAATATGGCAGTTGAGGGAGTAGACACAGACAGCTTGCAGGCAGGCAGTGTAACAGGACAGGAAATTTCCATTATATTGTCAGACCCAAGATGAAATCCCCAGCTCTTCCTTTACTAGTTATGTGACTGAGGACACGTGAAGGGCCTCCATGTCCTCATGTGTAATAGAGGTCAACCACACAAATAAACCCATCCATTTTCAGGATGGCTGAAGGAAGCACACGAGAGCTCTCTGCAACCTGTAGACAATGGAGGGGTGATAATGATGACCATGGGGGGGTAGTCAAACTGTTCCAGAGCCAGAGCCTATGCTAAATATTCCAACCCTGTAGAAGAGGTCCTCAAGTAACTCAACATCAGGAAATCTCATTTTGCTCAAAGCAGAGCCTTTGATATACTCTTGCCTTGCCTCATGGACAGCTTCCTTGCTCAGAAATTTAAAGGATCAGTGAGGGAACCACTCTTCTAGTTGTACTGCTGGTGGAAAGGAAGGACCTTTGATGCCTGGGTGAATTTGAAAAAGATACCCGCTTTGAGTGGACTTCCCAGCCCTATGGGCTCACGCTTAGTGAAGAGAGATGACTATGAAAATTATCAAGTGTTCTTTCCTCCAGGCTGGCAATGCCCCACAACAGGATGCCCTCTTGGCCAAACATCCTTAGGCAGGGCACCCCGGAACTATGCCATTTTAAAGAAAGCAGGCTCCTTCCCATATGGACCTCGAAAGTATGGACCCTATGGAGTGAGAATTGGAGCTATTACATGTTAGAGAACTAGCAAGGATCTGGGAACCATGCTTTGGCAAAGTGAAACATTTATTTATTGCAGGGATTCTTGAATATGCTACATAATGAACATCTGAGTAGGAATATTGCATGCAGCATTTATTTCCCAAATGCCTTTGACCATGGAAACCTTTCTCACGGAGCAGCTCACAAAATAGAACGAGAACAGAAAAACTGTCCTAGACTGTAGAAGTGCAGATTTCATGGCCAGCACTTTCTAAAGGAAATTAAATTGAAGGCAGGTGGGAGGTTGTTAAAAATGAAACTCTGTGTAGATGCTTCTAACTTCAAAAGAAAAGAAATAGGCAGTGGGTTATGTAGGTTGCACATGAGAGAAACCAAATTCAAACAAACAGGCACAAAAGGAATTGTATTGCCTCCACAATCCAAGGTAAGCTTCAACAACCAAACAGCGGGTGAGCGAGGATGCAGCGTCAGAAATACTGGAACCAAGGGCTTGGGTCCCCACAGGTCTCTGTTCTCTCACCTCTCCTCTCTCTGAGGCACTTTATTTTCTCTCACTACAGACAGGTTTTTTTCACAAACATTTTTTCACATAAGGCTGCTGATAGTGTTCTATTTTACACATCCTATCAGCAGCAAGAGATTGTTCTGAGTCTCTCCTGGGTCTCCTATTAAAAAAAAACAGGGAAGGAAATCATTGGCCCATTGTTTAGTTGGGTGCCCATGCTTTGACCAGTCAGCAGTGACCAGGGGAGTGAAGTCATTGAAGGAATCAATAGCCCCAAGGAAACTGGGTGGATGGCAGCTGGGAAAGGAGTTCCCAAGAGATAGTCCCATGAAGGGGCCATGCTGGGGGAGGTAGGGCTGAGGGTAAGGGTTGGAGATGGGTCACCTCAGAGGAAACCGGAA